TTCTCTAACTCCCTTATGCAACCAGGGATGACTGACTGCCAGCACAAACAACCTCCTGAAGAGCCTTCTGGGATGATTCAGTATTTTCCCCTCTTGCAGCAGGGCTCTGCTCCTCTTGCCCTGCTGACAGCCTTGGGGGCTCTGCACTTCAGGGTGTTGATTTATTTCTAGGACACTGTATAATTGTATTATTTGGCAGAAAATAATAGTAGTATTTCAGGGAGGGGTGGAGGTGGTGTGGAAGTTCTCTGTTAAAAAGTAGCCAATAACCAAAATAAGGTGTGCTCTTTAACATTCATTAATCTCTGATTGCTGAATAGGCTGTTTGGTAGCATGATTGTTATGTCATTTTGCGGTAGTTATTACTTAGGAATATTTCTGTGTTAACATCCACATAGTTTCTAAATGCACTAGATGTTTTGCTGCGGACACAGACGCAGTTTTTAAAAGAAATTCCGTAGAAAGCCCAGTGAGATGTTCCTATTTTGAGTGATAACAGGAGAAACCTCATTTTCTGGCTCCTGAAGTAGTTGTCCAGCTATCCATCACAGTAACAAAAGTTGCCACAGGAGAATATGTCCTACAGTACTCTATAGAATCGTAGAACCATCAAGGTTGGAAGAGACCTCTAAGATCATCAAGTCCAACCATTAACCTGTCACTGCTGTAACCCCTAAACCCTAAACCAGATCCTCCAGCACCAGGTCCAGATACCTCTTAAATACCTGCAGGGATAGTGACTCCACCACCTCCTTGGGCAACCTATTCCAGTGCTTCTTCCTTCAGTGTTGAAGTACTATTTCATCAAAAATGTCACACATTAGAAACAAGTATTTTTCTTTGCAAGTTTTCTGTGAGATTTTGTTGCACATGAGCATTTTTTATTTTTATTCAGTTCTATACCAGGATTCTATAAAAGACTTAATTTAATCAGACTGTACTATAAAGGACTTGCTCAATGATCTCTCTGCTTTCTCTCTCTCTCTTCCCAGTTACTCAGTTACAGTGCAAGAGTCATATCCTCATCCTTTTGATCAAATTTACTACACCAGTTGTACTGACATCCTAAACTGGTTTAAGTGCACACGACACAGGTGATGTATAAATGTTCATATTGTCAATCTGCTGATATTGTAGAAATTCATTAAGATTTGTGCCTGTCAAAATCAAGCATGATATGTGGTCTGTTTTAGTTGTAGTGTCTTAACTGCTGTGATCTGTATCTACTGGAAAATGCCTATTTGAGCAATGCCACATATGTTTTATTAGCAGGTTGGGGTGTATCATCCCATGGAGAGCTAACACAGAACAAACAGCTTGGGAAAAAGCATGCAATGCACAGAATTAAATTCACCAGATCCTGCAAGGTGTATTTGTTCAGAAATAGCATGAGGGATGCCTTGCTGCTTGCAGTGTTGTGTTCTGGGAGAAGTGGAAGCTACTTGGAAGGAAAATAAAAGGGTTTGTTAAAGGAAACTTGTGCTTTCAGAAAGTAAGCAAGGGGTGGATGATTAAAAACTGGTAACAGCTGTAAAGAACATTTTCCTCAGAGGAATGTATGAAAGTATGAACCATCACCAGTGAGAAAGGCTCCCTGGGGCACAACAGCTGGAGGAGACAGTGCAGTACCTAAAAAGCAGATACTGAGTTTAGAGAAAGATTACACTTTGTTTACCTATGATACCACGTATATATGAGCTTTCCTTTGCTAGTAGAGTTGCAATTGTATATGAGCTGCTCTTTGCTGGGAGTTCAGACTGTCTCAGGTGTTGTGGGGAATGCTTACTGCTCACTGGAGTGTGTGGTCAGCAGCCAGGAGAGCTGTGGCTGGAGATTTATGAACACAGTGAGGAGCAGGGAGGAGAGACCAGTGGGAGATCCTGCTGCTGGTAAATACTGCTTGCTCATGTGAGAAGGAAGCTGTATATTCTGCAGCTCTCGGTGGGTTTACGAGCTGCTCACCACTGCCCCGTAAGGCTCTGTCCTGCCAGAGGCAGACACGTCCCTAGTGAGAAGTGTGCAGTGCTGCCAGTTGCCCAGGAGGTCCAGGTTCTCTCTGTACCCTCCTTAACCAGAACTTCTCTTCTCAGGGCATCTCTGCCTCTGGAAAACTGACTCACCAGAAGTCTTTTCCTTGGAAACTGATCCCTGTAATGTTTCAGCAAACTGATTTGTGTTGCCAGCCTTTAACCTCCACAGGGGAGGCTAATGGCAAAGGCAGCAATGCTCTGGTTTGCATTTTAGTTAAGTAGCCAATATCCTTAACTTCTTTTCCTGCTGTCTGGCCACCCATGGACATAAGACTTGTTGGGGAACCACTTGGAATCTTGAACTCAGCAACAGATAAAACAAGATCACTTTGAGCTTTTTTTTTGTTTCTCTCATGATACCTGAATGGTTTTTTAAAATGTGTAAGGATTTATACTGTCTTGTTTCTGATCCATGAGCTGTGTGTAACCACCATTCACTCCTTTCTCTAGGATCAGTTACCGTACTGCCTACAGACATGGGGAGAAAACGATGTACAGGCGTAAATCCCAGTGCTGCCCTGGATTCTATGAAAGCAGGGAAATGTGTGTCCGTAAGTTTAGCTTCTTTTTGCTTTGAAATCCCACACATTTATCACAGTGCTGGTTTGACTCCCCTTTGATGGGTGGCTCGTGAAGGCTCAGTTACAGAGGCTCAGTTATTCATCAGTGGTGTGTGTGCAGCTCTCGTTGAAGTCAGATGCAGGTGACAGGATAATTGGATCTCAGATGTCTATGTGACCAGCCTTGGTGTGATTTTAACTAACGATCATATGGAAGATGCACAGCACAAGTGTTAGTGTGTTTTCCAAGACAGTAAATAAGTCCAAGGTAAAAAACCAGAAGGGACACACAAGCTTTTTCTCCTTAGCATGGACCCCAGCAGATCCCCATGGTGAGCCTCTCCTGCAGATACAGAGGTCTGTAACAACTGTTTGAAGGTGGCAGCACCATCCTCTTTGGATGGCACATGCCCCTGTCTCCTCATCTTCCTAACCCAGAACTGGAAAGTGCTGTGTCCAGAGTCTGGTGACAGCCAAGGCTCAGTTCTCTTTCTCTCCCTTGTACAGCTTTGTTCAAACCTAGGAAGGTCTTAAAATGTTTTTTTTATTCCAGAGCATAGTAGAAAGGCAGAATGAAAACAGAGAGGGTATTGATCCAGAGCCCTGTACAGTGAGGAGTTTAACAAAGGGTTGGCGGTGCCACAAATTGGGTTGTGTATGTAGATGCTCATGCTGGCAGGACTGACAGCAGGGAACTTGTGACAGGTAAGCAATTGTGAAGGATAGCACATCCTTGGAGATGGGCAGATGTTTTGGGCTGAAAATGAAATGTATTCAGCAGTATTTCAAGTTACTTGTCCCTATGAATCTGCATGCACAGTATGGACAGCAGTGGTTAAGTTTTCCAGAAGCCAGAGAACTGAATTTCTTCATTTTTGCATCTCCTGGAAAAAGTAGGTTTATCAGGGACAATCTTTTGCCTGTAGCATCATTTGTGATGTTCACCTGCATTTATACTTTTAGTAATTTTAGGAGACAGAGCATGCATTCCAGTGAAAACCAGCTATATCCATTTCTTGGTTTTGCTTCAGCTCCTCTAATAACAAGATTTAAAAACCTTTCAGAACCTTAACAGTGCGAGAGGAACTGAGGTGGTATAGTTTAACTTCCTTCTGGCAATGTAAGTCCCTGTAAGAGCAGACTGGTGAGGGGCTGGAGCCTCTGCACTGTAGGACTTGCCCTTGGGCTTGCCACACAGTTTCTGAACAGGCAACTGATTGGCAAGCCTTGCCAAGAGAAAAAAGTGAAAAGCCAAGCTTATTGGGACAGCAACAGTATGTAAGCTGTTTTGACAGCTGCTTTGGCCTCTCTCATGTGAAGCTCTGTGTCATGTCCCTGAGTCAAACCCTAACTTGGTTGGTCTGTGTGAGGGACAGACTGGGATGCTCCCAATGCCCTGGAGCAGGACCTGGACGGAGGCATGTGAGGAAGGTGTGTCTGTTAGAGCACATTTCTGCCTAAATAAGGCTGAGAATGATAAAAATGGAGATTCCTTCATTGCTCTATTGTCTGTCCTGTGGCTGTAATGACAGTGGTGAAAGCACAGCATTCAGTGTATGGAGAAGCTTGTCCAGGAAAACTGTTCTGTGAAGTAACAGGTAACAAGAGATTGATCATTGCCATTGGAGTTTGTGGCCCAGTTTAGGAGCTGACAGTGTGGTGGATAAGTCTTTGGTCTTTCCCAATAGATGAGTCTGAAAATCTGCATCAGAATATACAGTAAGTATAGTTATTCAATCCAAATGCAAGACAGTTTCTTAATTTGTGCCATTCTACTTGTTGTGAGGTTCATACTGGGAGTAACTGACAGGTTTTATTTGTACCTTTGGAAAATTAGACTCTGAATGTCATAACACATCACACTGCACTTAGCTATATTTTTGTTTTGCAACACTTCCTGGAGTTTGAAAATATCTGTGATTTAAAGTGTTTTCTGCACATGAGAAAGCAAGGAAAAAATCATATTTTTTTTTACAAAATTGATATATTTGATAGCAGACCAGCAATGTTTTTAGCCTTTTTGGTTTTACTGTGTCTGTATTGTACTTACTAGAACCAATTTCTAACAACATTTGGTTATTACTCAGCATGTGTGAATGATCATAGTCAATTCTTTTATTAAGTAGAATACTTTTTGAAGTGTATAACAGCTCGACTCATCACCTGAGAAGTGTGATAATGACTGTTTTATGTGACCACAGCTTTTGCATAGCTATCGTGTATGTAGTAAATTATATTAGTGCAGGGATACTTAGGATGTGGAAAATTCAAATCACATTGGATGTGCTAATTTTTACTGTTATTACATAAAAATATGCCAAATGCTGATATTCAGGACATATCTGCTCTGACTTTTGACGCAACTGTGGAGTGCCTCAGACTTTAAAATACATGAAAATTCAGATCCTTCAGTGGAGCTAACTCTGCATTTATTTGGCCCTGGAAGGCACTGAGAGACAACTGAAGCTGAGGAATCAGGTCAAAGGAGGAGCTCCGTAGTTAATAGAGGTTGGCAAATATTTCATGCTTTCCATTGTTTAAACCAGTTTTCTTCCTAGTGAACTTGAACATTCCAGAATAGTTGATGCCTGTGCACACTGTGACAATACTAGTCATCCAGTCTACCCAGGAAAGCAAGTGTGATGCTGTCAGCTGAGGTCAAGTGGTAAGAGAGAGTGATACAGGGAAGATTCCTCTCCTGTGTCATCACAGCAGAAATATCTCTGGCAAAAAGCCAACAACAAAATCTTTTTCATGGCAACCACACTGTAAAACACACATGCACTCCTCTCCCTTTTTCATATGCTAAAACAGAAGACCGTCCCAGCCATTTGAAGTGTTCCAGGTAACTTATTGCTGTTGCTGCTCCATAGTGCACACAACATTTCCATTAGTGTACTGTTATTTTCCATGCAGCATGGAATAATTTTACTTACTTAATGGAGGAGGTAAGATGCATCTAAAAGGCTAAAGTATTTGTGGTACTGTTGATATTTTGTTTTTTGCTTGTTCCTTTATTTGACTTCTCAGTTTGGAAAGGTGAATCAGAACAGATTTTGGTGTGACTCAATATTTCAGAGATGAATTGGAATTTTCTTACCTCCTTTTAAAATAGTAGGAATCCACGGTGTGAATATTCACCGGCCACTGTTCCCCTAGAGGTAGTTCTTACACTTCACTGCCTACAGTGGGAAGAGAGTTATTTATCACTGCATCAAGAATTGCAGGAATGTGGCAGCCTCATGCTGCTGAAGTGTGTACATGTTCTATGTGCAAAGGAAGGCAGTGACCAACAGCCAGAGAAAAGCAGTGGCTGAAATTTTAGAGCTCCAGTGAGTCTTTTGGAATCCAGTCTGAACAGGCGAGTTTGGATTCATCTTAGGATACAGAATTCTGACTCTTGAATTCCACACTTGTTCCTGAAAATTTTCAATTGGTGAAACTTGTGCTATGTTCATGCCTTTTGATGAAATTTCTTCTTTTGTTTTATGTCTGGATTCAGTGCATGTGTGTGTATGTGTGTATATATACATACCTACACATATATGTGTGTGTGTGTGTAATATGGAAAAAGGCCTTTTTAATCCCTCATATGGAAATTTATCTGTTCTCCTCTAAAGGAAATATAACTGCTGTACTGTAAACTCTCCAAACTCTGATAGAGAATTTTAGTATCCTCCTCTTTTTTGGACTAATGCCATTGATAATAATAATGAGATAGTAGAAGTAGATATCTATTACAGGGAAGACCAACCCCACTCAACCATCACTAGTTTAACAGAGTCTGTTAAACAACTCAGACACTTGTCTTTCCAATGAGATGATGCTGCATTTATATCACAGTTAATACCAGCCTCCATCTGCAGCCCTTGGAAGGTTTTCAGGGAACCTCTTAAGGAAGTTTTCAATGATGTTAATAAATATCATAATAGACAGTTTTTTGTGTTACTTTTTGGGCAGTATAGATATATTCTGTTGCAGACTGAGTTGTTATGACAAGCAGCACTCAATACAAGAATTAACCTGTGTTTTATTACTTGTGCTATTTCACTTGTCTTCAGGTGGGTAGAAAAAATTCTGCTGTAACTTTCAATCCAACATGATATGGAGTCAGTACTTGGACTGTTTTATGAGTGTTAAGATGTCTGTTAGTACACTCTAAGTAAGTTCCACTAACAGAGAGTGCTTTGTGCTGTCCTCATGTAACTTCTGTTTGCAAAGGGTATGAATAATGTACAAATTTCTGACTTCCTTCTTCACTATTGCCAGTGTCCCTGTAAAAGAGTAGGTTAACTGGACCTCAGGTCATTGTTTTTGCTCTTAAAAATCACAGTGCATGTAGTAATGTTTAGATCTGAAGGAGTTTTGAGGTGATTTCAATGTATATGCAGCTATAAAGGCAGGACCATTCTGTGAAGTTCTATAAAGGAACTTACTCCTGGCCTTAGAAAGTCCATACCAAGCTGAGTGACTGGCTTAGTTTGTTATTTATTCTGGAGAATTTCCTGTCACTTGTCTTCTAATATCAGTGGCAATCCCTATGAGATTTGGCATATGGCTGCTGGGCTGAACTACGGATTAGAAGTTTTTACAACAAGTCCAATCTTCTATTTTATTTTATTTTTTAACATTTACAAAGTCCATTGAATTTTCAGCCTGTATCTGAAAAGTAAGAATTCAAAGATTTTAAGATATCTCCTTGTGGCTTCCTTGTAGATTGACACAAGTGCAAAGGTAAATTGATCCTGACAGCATTTTGGTAGCTTGAATATTAACTTCACATAGAGTTTAGTACATTTCTAAGAACATTAATGGAGAGTTATGCCTGTTGAATTTTCTGAAAACATGAAATAGAAAATAAACCATCTATCTTACTGCATAACTGGACATCTCTCACTTTAATAGCAAGTGGACATCAAAGAGAGGAACAAAGGATTAACCAAAGGATATGTTTTAGCACACAGTGTAGACATAAAACATTTGGAAAACACATTTATAATGTAGTTTCAAAGAGATTTGATTTTTTCCACCATAAATGCTTATTTGAATTAATTTTGACAAAGCTGGAGTTAAACCTCTCTTCACTGACATCAGTATGAGACACTTCATTAGTGTTTGAAAGTGGTGACTTGACCTGAGACTGTAGTTTGCATTCTATGCCTCTAGCCTGACTGGATTAATCACCCTTGGTCTGAGCTCCCCTCCCAGAGCTGTGGTTCTATGACATATCTGTGAGTATGTCAGCCAAGCTCTTGCCTTGCATTGAATCATAGAATCATAGAATCAACTGGGTTAGAAAATACCTCAGAGATCATCGAGACCAACCCTACCGTGGTCACTAGACCACGGCACTAAGTGCCACATCCAGTCTCAGCTTGAAAACCTCCAGGGATGGTGAATCCACCACCTCCCTGGGCAGCACATTCCAGTGCCTGAGCACTCTCTCCATAAAATATCTCTTCCTAATATCCAACCTAACCCTCCCCTGGCAGAGCTTGAGTCTGTGCCCTCTTGTCCTGCTGCTGGTTGCCTGGGAGAAGAGACCAACCCCCACCTGACTCCAACCTCCTGTCAGGGAGTTGCAGAGGGCGAGAAGGTCTCCCCTGAGCCTCCTCTTCTCCAGGCTGAACACCCCCAGCTCCCTCAGCCTCTCCTCATGGCACTTGTGCTCGAGTCCCTTCACCAGCCTCATTGCTCTTCTCTGGACCTGCTCCAGCACCTCAATGTCCCTCCTCAACTGAGTGGCCCAGATATGCACACAGTATTCAAGGTGTGGCCTCACCAGTGCTGAGTCCAGTGGCAGAATTACCTCCCTGGTCCTGCTGACCACACTGTTCCTGATCCAGGCCACATTCAGGGCACATTCATTGAGCTGGTTACAGACCTATCAGTGACTGCAGTGAGGTGGGACCAGAACTGAAGCAGACTGGTGGACTTGTGCCAGGGTATGGGGCAGCTCCTCTCATGCCTCAGAAAGGGCTGCTACAGGGAATTACATGCACAGTAGATGTTTTATAGATACTTCAAGCTGGCTAATGCTCTATAACCAGAAAGAGCAAATCTACCTTTTGCATTTTAAGAAGGTAAAAGAATGTGACCCACTGAAATAGACATGTAAATTTGAAGGGGTAAGATAAATAATTTGAAGAAACAATAAGACACAATAGAAAAGGGGAAATAAGGTGCAAAAGAAAATGTGCAAGAGTAAACTCAGATTGCTTTTCATATGATAATTGAGTTTTCTCTTACAATAGAATAAGATATGGGAATTGCTGCCAGGGAAATTTTGCTGCTTCTCCACACTGCTCAGTGTTAAAAAGACTTCATGTTGCATTTTTCACCTGCTCTTGCACATATTTCTATGTATGATGCCCAACAATTCCATAGAAAATCAAGAGAAAACAGAGTAACTGTACCTGATGGCATTCATGTCTTTTCTGCTTGTTCCAGTGCTTTTCATATTGTCCTCACCTTACACTTTTTGAAGATCATGTAGTAGATGTTGGTTCTCTTATTCCCAGGTCTCTTAGAGCTGTTTACTAGGACTCAGTTGCCAAGAATCAGTTAGTCCATAAGGTGTATAGAGAATTTTTTTTTTGGTTACAGAATAGGTGTTTGTGTATACTCAGAGTGTGGATCCACGTGCTCAGCATGGTGTGACAGGCACTGCAAGGAAGTGCTCAAAGAGCTTTTTCTGTACCTCTTGTTGGGTCCAGTTTCCTACATTTTCATTTTTCTTCTATTTTCCAGCTGTCTCACAGAATATGTGATGGAGCATTGCTTTATTGTATTTAAGCCTTAGTGCTCAGGAGTTTGGGCTGAGCATGTTTCTGTTCACTGACTTGTTCACACATGTGTACAGTGACCTGTTGTCTTATGGTTTGCTGCTAAGACTTTTCACACATTCGGTTTGTGGAGAGCTTCAGTGCCCAAGGCAGTGCTAGCTAGGCAGGAGTCTTCAAGGACACAAGGAATTCATGTCAAGTTATAAGACTAATGGAAAATTGTGCTGAATAATTTAAACTCAGTCTTTTCACAATAAATAGAGAACAATGAAAAAGCTTCGTATCAACATCTTGTTTCATTGAACATTTAACAATTAGCACCCTCCCTGTTGATTTCTAATGAAGATCTTTTTAATGCATATGTGTAATGTATGTTCTTAGAAATAAAAGTTGAGAATGAAAATTAAAGGCTGTACAAATAAGCCATTAATGACTGGGATCCAAAGATAACCAAAGATTTCTATCATGTATATATGATTGATCTCTGTGTGGTTTTCCTTTTTCCTGGCCACTCAAAATGTAAAGATAACCAATGTGCTTCATCATCTTTAATTAAGAAAAAACCCAGGACATTTTGCAAGTATTTTGCCTAATTACTGTAGTGCATTTTCAGTCCATTCAGAACCAGAATGATTCACATGGAGTCCCATTAATCTTCTCGTTAACAGCAACTTTGTTTCCCATTGTTGACTTTGTATTCATTGGTGATAGTTATAGGATTCCTGACGTGGTTTCTCTGGAAATGTTGATACAAAGAAAATTCTCATCCTGTGCACATTTTCTAAGTTTTATTGCTGTTCAAAGTAGAAGGAAAGTATTTCAGTGTGTATATATTTTGGAAAGTTAAGGGTATTTATGATGGATATGATGGCAGAAACCTGTTGCTAGTTGGAGATTCTTCCTCTTTGTTGTATTATATTCTGAGTCAGTTACAGTGATATAAAGGGTACGAAAGCCATTTCAGCTTTTTCTTAGAAGTTTCAAATAGAATCTTGATTTCAAAGGAAGCCTTAACTGTAGAAATATGTGCTTGAAAATGGGGGGAAACAAAAAGGGAAAAACAGGAAAAGAAAAATTCAGGCAGCTCTACTTAGCACTTAAAGGTTGCAGTGGTTCGTGGAGTTTACATCTTGTGCCTTACTTTAATCACCATCACTGTTTCTTTATGCTTCACTTGAACTGTGCAATCATTTGAAAAAATTGGTATTAAAATACTGGTGTGCTGCAAATGGTATTTTATCCATGCTGGTACAAAAGAGCATTTCTTTTTATGCATTCCCCTCTTTTTCTTGGCATGAGAGTTTGCCTCAGAGAATCACAGGATACTTGAGGTTGGAAGTGACCTGTGGAAGTAATTCTGTCCAACTTCCCCTCTCAGGTAGGACCAGGTAGAGCTTCTTACCCAGGACCATGTTCAGATGGGTTTCCAATCTTTATCATACCATGACTTTTTTTCATTAAATGTGGACAATTTTCTCATTGTTAAATGCAAAAGTATTTGAGTAGCACTAATATGGTTTTAGTTGGAGCCTTCAAACTTAGGAAAAACAAAACAAAGTAGCAGAAATAGAAGAGACTGAAGTAAAATATATTTTGAAGAGTTGCCATCAGACATTAGTACACTGATTGTTATTTTGCTTTTAAAAGATACTTGAGACACAAAAGATCTGCATTAGGAATATTTTAGATATTTTTAGAAATGTTTAGAATATTTTTCCTAGCTCTAGGTGTTCTTTAATTGTTGTTTTATTTCCTTCTCTGACAGCTCATTGTGCTGATAAATGTGTCCATGGTCGTTGTATTGCTCCAAACACCTGTCAATGTGAGCCTGGCTGGGGAGGACCCAACTGCTCCAGTGGTGAGTTTTCACCTGTTTCTGCCTGTCTTACACTCCTGCTGCAGTGTCGTCCTCACTTTTAGGCAGACAATCATCACTTCTGTGTTTGGGCTTCTGCTTTATGGTCTGGGTTTTTTTCCGGTGTTACCAGTTGCCTGATTTTTCTTCATTTGCTAGCAAACAGTGTTCCCATGTAGCAGCACTAAATGCCATGGGCGTTTTTGGTACCCAGAAATGTACAAAGAACACAAAATTTAGTATCTGGAGCAAAGTAGATTTAACTCTATTTCATCTCTAAGAAAACCTTGACTTTTCAGTTTTACTAATGTGAAATAATTACTAATGTAATGTAAAGATTGATGGTGACAGGTCACATTTAAAAGCTATGAGCAAAGCCTTCCCTACAGCTCTATCCTTCTTTTTCACTCTGCCACTAAATTGTCTATTCACTTCACTGTGTTCCCCACTTGCACTATTAGTTGCTCCCTGGCTGCTCAGTGTCCTTCTGCTTTAGTCACATTTCCCTAGCTTTATTCTCCCTCCCCTTTGCCATAAGAGCAGTGCAGGAGACAAGAGGAACAAGAGAGGAGTATTGAGGACACGTCTGGGAGGAGACAGGGGCATGTGGGTGTAGTCACATGCAACCCAGTGAGCAGGTGGACACACTTCATAAAGAAATTGTGAAGATCAAGGCCATCAAACACCTGATGCAAGAACACAGCAAAATGTCAAAACACAAAGTGAGGTAGTAAAATGATGTCAGCTCATGACTTTCTATCATGGATGTTTTCTAGACTCTTTGCAGGTAAAACCAGCCACTGCAGCCTCTAACAAAGCAATAAGGTCTGGATTTGGAGCAGAAACCACTCAGTGTTAGGGCTGGAATGTTTGGGCAGCATCCCTTCCTCTGTCAGAGGTAATTCCCAGAATATCGTGAGCTGGAAGGGACCCACAAGGATCATCATGTCCAGCTCTTGTCCCTGCACAAGACATCCCCAAGAACCACACCATGTGCCTGAGACCATTGTCCAAAGGCATCCTGAACTCTAAATTGTGCAGACCACAAATTGTTATCTTTTCCAGCCTTTGCCTGAAATACAGTTTCTCAGAGTAATTTTTTAATTCATTATAATTTGTTACCTATTGCATCTTTCTGGTCCCCTTTGTAAGGTCTTTGGAAATACAATGTTGAGGCTAACTTTGAAACCACATTTCAGGTTCAAAGGGTGTTGCTAGTAGTGACTGTTCACTTGAAGGGAATGTATTTTAGTCAACAATAAAAAAATGTCTGTATGGTTTAAATATCATATACCATATAAATTTCTAACTCATAAACCAGAGCTTGATGTCTTGCATCATATTGTGCTGCTAGTTTACATAGTATCTTATTCCTGTAAAATTAACAGCCTAGATCATCTGCAGCACAAAAATAATGTGACTGTGTTTTCACCCTCATTTTTCCCCCTAATAAAAATAGGGAAATGTTCTTTTTTTTTTGCAAAAATGATGCTGTCCTAACTCTCCATCTGCAACTGATCTGTTGTTCCAGCACCATATTTTGTGACATGGGGAAGAATTAACCGTTTTAAAGTTGTGTAGTTTTTGTATATAGTTATATGTGATTCTTATACAGTTCTAAAGAAATGCTAAGTTTTGCATGAGGCATAAAACTGAAGGAGCAATGCAATGTTGCTGTAATACTGATCGTAATCTAATGTACTGCATTGTCAAAAGAAATTGTCAGAAGATGTTATCTTTCCTCCTGAAAACCTTTTGAGGTCTTCTGTAACTAATTGAATGTGCAGAAGCAACACGAATCATTGGGCAATAGAGAATGTGAAGATACTGTTATTGAGATTTGCAAGTTGAAACTCACTGAAAAGGTAGTTTGGATGAGACAGGAGCCTCTAAATCTGTCTCTAGAAATAATCCTTCCTCTCACAGGATTTCTAGGGTCCATTTCCCTTACCTGTGTGGTATAATTCATTTTGAATACATGTGCAGCTCTTTTCCTCTGCTGTTCCTCAGTTGGTTGCCTTTGATTGCTTGTCACAGCAGCCTCAATAGCAAAAATATTTTCTGTTGTGCCTACACAACAGGCCAAAACTGAAAGAGCCTTTGTTCATGTACCTTTGAGCAGTGTGATCTCTGGAGAGGTTGGTGATCCTCTAAAGGCTTCTGTGTGACGTTAGAGCTAACTGGAACTGCCTAAAGTTGTTTTGGATCACTAGTGCAGTCCTAGGAGCAGGAGTTAGACTGAGGAAAGGGGATATTTTTGTGCATGTGCTATGGGAGCTCTTGTTTTGGAATTTATTCCTTTCCATGTGGACAAACTTTAGAGATTTGCTGCTTTTACTGGATTATCCTTCTGGGTTTGAGTGCTGCTATTTGTTGCTAGCTCTGTGTGTGTGATTTCCTTATCTGTGTGTCTGATGAGCTGCAGCACAGATCAAACTCAATAGAACTGGAAAGACGCTAAGTGAAAGGGTTTTGGCTCTCAGACTTTTATTATTGCTTGCCCTACATAGGAGGTTTTGATATTTTGCCTTTAGTTGTATTTTCTACATGATCCCCAGCTTGGTTGGTTTCAGTAACAGAAAGATATAATGAGATAAAACAAAGATATGTGCTTTCTTAATAATTATTTTGTTGATATAGCAAGTTTTTAATTCAATATAAAAACAATATAAAAATTTCCTTATTATAATAATGTCTAACAAATAAACACTTTAACTACATAACTTTTTAACTGAATGATAGAACAGTGATTATAAGGCAGGACAGTGTTTTTGTAAGGCAGATGATCAGGGATTTAATGGTTATTGATAACCAAATAAAATACCATGTCTAAAAGGGAGAGATTATTCTCAAAGTGTGAGATACTAGGCCAACTTCCAGATTTAGTAATCTGTTCATTTTCATGGACCCAGATGAGTGGGAAGCAACCTAAGGACTAAACTTCTTGCAAAACTACAGAACTAAACATTTTCTTCCAAAGTACTGCTCTTTCTCTGTTGGTATCATGTATTCTCCTTAGAAAGGAATTTAATCTGTAAGTATCAGAGAATAGAGTTAGTCCTACTGTAGAATCTGTCCATGTGCCAACCCTCAGCTTGATTTTTATCTGTCATTTCTCAGTTGTATTTGCTCAGTATATTTAGAATAAATTTTAAATCACAGAATCATTAAGTCTGGAAAAGACCTCTGAGATAATCCAGTCCAACCTATGATCAAACACCACCATGTCAACTAGACCATGGCACTAAGTGCCACATCCAGTCTGTCCTTAAACACCTCCAGGGGTGGTGACTCCACCACCTCAGTGGGCAGCACGTTCCAGTGCCTAATCACCCTCTCTGTGAAGAAATTCCTCCTAAAGTCCAGTCCATAGTGCCACAGCTCCTAAGTGAGAATGACTTTCTGGGTGATGATTGCAGAGAAGTGCTTCCTAAGCGCTGTGATGGCCTCTCTTAAAATGAGGGAGTGATTGCATGGACTAAATTCATTAATTGTGCAGTAAAGGCTGAACCAACAAGCTTCTTCCCCTATACTTTGCATAGCACTGTGTGCTGTGGCCTAACAGCCCTTCTAGGGGCTAAACCTTTTGGGAGAGTCTCATTTCCATTTGTAGCAAACATTACATCCTTATTGTGATGACTCTTACCCAATTCCTAATAGCCTAGGTCAGTGGCTGCTTTCAGTTTAGGGAGAAGAGGGCTAAAGATTTGACTATTCTAGCCCAGCCAATAACTCTGCTCTCGACCACATACTCTGCCTTTCTGAACACCTTACATCCCAATGGAGAGGAATACAGGGTTGGGTGTATTCTTCTGTGAGTCAGTCCCCAGTTGTGGTCTCAGAATTTAGTTAATTAAATAATGTCTCCTTGGGGAACATATCCTGTGTGAGATGTACTTTTTCTTCAGGCTTTTTCTCTGTAGTTAAAGTATCTATTGTTAGGCAGTGTTTGCTTGCAGTGAAAGCCAGTGGGAGGTGGATGAAGGAGATGATGATAACAACAAAGGGGCCTATAAGGAGCCAGAGAGGGACTCTGTGTTAGGAACTACAGTGATAGGACAAGGGGTAATGGGTTAAAACTGAAGGAGGGAAAGTCTAGGCTGGATGTGAGAAAAAAACTTTTTACTTTAAGGGTGGTGAGACACTGTCCCAGGTTGCCCAGGGAGGCTGTGGCTGCCCCAACTCTGGCAGTGTTCACTGCCAGGCTGGATAAAGCCTTGAGCATCCTGATCTAGTGAGGAGGTGCCCCTGCCCAGGGCAGGGTGTGGGGACTAGATGACCTGTAAAGCCCATTCCAACCCTTAAATTCTGTGATTCTATGATCTGCAAAGAAATACTGCTTGAATCAAGAGATCACTCATTTGCAGGACACTTCCATTCTAGCAGGAGAGATGGCAGTTATGAGAAACAATTTATTCTAATAAAGATTTATTGACTGAGCACATAGTCAGGACAATGACAAATGAGTGGACAGAAGATGTGTTGAAGGAGTGACGCGAACCAGCACAACCAGAAAGCTGTCAGCACCCTCTCAAGAATATCTGTGAATTCCAGGAACATAAGCTGACCAATTCTGGGCTGGAGACAAGGGCAAAATGTAGAAAAATGCACACAGCGGTAAATGTAGGTGTGTTTGTAGATTAAGCAAATAGATTTTATTGAAAAACAAACAAACCAAACAAAACCTTTGCCTCCCAAACTAGATTATTGTTTGATTGAAATTTTTTACCTGTATATGTCAGATTGGGTTGTTATATGTCATGAGAGTACAGGATGGGTGTAAAGCAGTTACAACTTCTGTAAAAGTTGCTGCATGTGGTAATAGCTGTCTGTCCAGATGTGAAGATGATCAGACCATGTTTTGAATCTGTAAATTATGTTTTCTGCCCATTATACACATTAGTAATGGGGATACACTGAAGGAGTAGAAATTTAGATGAGATAGTAAGAAGAAACATTTTCCTGTGAGGGTGGTGAGACACTGTCCCAGGTTGCCCAGGGAG